TCTTCTTCTTCTTCTTCTTCTTCTTCTTCTTCTTCTTCTTCTTCTTCATCTTGGGTGTCTTGTCTCTTTTATTTACTGTTTCTGTTGTCAATGTCTCTTTTTAAAATCCTTTTATGTCTTTTAATAATGATCCTTGTTCTCCATATTTGTCAAGGCTGATATTTTCCTCTCTTAATTCATCCTCTCCGAGGTTCCTTTGTTCTTCTTCAAGCTATAACTCCATTACTTTATTCAGCATTATCTCAACCAGTCTCATTTTTTCTTTAAGCATATCTCTCACAGTTTGGAGCTCCGATTTAAATTCTTTGCTTATTTCTTCCATTTCTTTGATCTTTTAAGTTATTCTTCATTTTATTAAAAGTCAAGTTTTTCTATTATAGTCTTGTCAAAAGTCTCCATTTATCTCACTTTCTCTTTCTTCTGTTTCCTTATTACAATCAACTTCCAACAAACCCAAAGTATTGCATTCTTGTATATTTTACTATAATCCCTCCTTCTTTTTTATGAGCTTACGGGGATTGTGTTTGTACAACTGATAGTTTCCCATACAGACATAAAAGAGAGAAATCTTAAACCTTTAGGTGGTGCTCTATATCACTTTCTTCTTAGAATTCTTTTATTTAAAATCACTTTTCCATAGTATTAATATTAAATTTTATCAGTTGAAAATCAGTCCAGCATTTTATCTAATGCCTGATTACTGTGCAATGTTATATATTGTTCCAAATTTAGTCTCTAATTGTATATAATTCTTTTATTTCCGGTTCTTTCTTTACCTTATATTTTCCTCTTATTTCTGATTTGCCGCTACCACTCTTTCAAACGAGGGCCCCTTCTTTCAGCTTTTCCAGGGTTTTCAAAAAGAGTGTTCAAAGTCTTTTATCCAGTTACACACTGCTCACGACTTCCACTCTCCAGCACAAAACTTGTGTCCCCGCAGCTTCCTGTCTTCAGGGCAGCCATCTAGAGGAGTTTACCAAGTCAGGGAGGGAAGATGCGGCTCCCCTCAACCCAGCTGGTGGTCTCCCCCTTTTCCCCCCCACCCCTCTGAGGTGAGTCAGATGGATCTGGTCCTTTAAGGACCCCTCCAACAGGGTAAGCACGGATCAAAGCCACGCACGATCACGGTCTCTGGTCTATTGTCGACAAGAATGCCACCAGAAGTCCACTATTGCTATATTCTATAGTCAGATTGTATTATATTGAATTTCCTCCAGACTCTTGTGTTTCTGGCCTTGCCCAGGACTACTTCAGTGTTTCTAAGAATCCACACCAATGAGAAATCTGTGGACTATTACATTTTCTGTTATTTTCTGGCTATTTTCACAATTGTTGATGGTCTTAATGAGTTTGAGGCTCATTAAGGTTTACTCCTCTGTGTTTAGTGTCTACAGTAGAGCTGTGTGGATGGTCATTTCAGAAATCCAGTGGTAATTTGATGGACTCATTGAGCTAACTCTCTGAATCAAATTTGACAGGTGGTTTGAACTAGCTAATCTGATGCCACTGGGTTGAATTCAGACTTCTTCTTTTTTTGCAAAAGCATAGCAACAGATTTTTGACAATTGAATGAAACCAATAAGACAGTTGACAAGCCCACACAGATTCCACGTGTCTTTTCAGAAGACACATTCTATAAGCATGATTTTCGTGGTTATCCTTTCCCCTGGAAGAGTCAGAGCTGATTTTCCATTTCTGCTTTCAGGTTCCATGGGGTGGGGGGGGACTGATTTGTAAGTAACTGTAGAACATAGAACATAATTTTTTTTTTGTATCATGTGACCAGAATTGTGGCCACACTAGTGCACAATATCACGCAGCTATATCCAAACTAATTAACCCTGAAGTGCCAAACTGATAATTAGAAACTATTCAATGTAGTCATTTGGTTTCTTGATTAATGCATACACCCTGATCATTTATCATAGGAAAAATTCACAGGATCATTAAATTCTCCATATATGTCGCTTGCAATTAATGCTCTCTAACGACACTATCAGTGTGATGGAGCAGCTTTCAAATCATGAAAACTCCACTCAACACAAGCATTTAAAAATGTGATATACTAGTTATCGGATACCCTTGATCAATGTACTTTTGATTACCATCATGCAAAATCTTACGTTATTGTCAGAGATATGTATGCGCCTGTTTTGTGCTACCCTTTATC